AGACAATCTTTCTTATATCCGGGTTTCTCTTATATCCGGGTTTGGTCTATTTTATATACCTTAACACAGGCTCTAATTTGGGACCAGAGAAAATCTCTTATATCCGGGTTTCTCTTATATCTGGGTTACACTGTATATTAGTTCTTGAATTTGTATTAAGCTGAAAACACCTTTCTTGACGTTGATCTTCAGACGTTCAATTTAAGAGTAAAATTGGCAGCTGATCTCGACAATGACCGCCAATCAGTGGCGTAGCTAAGGGGGGAGGGGCGGACAAAGTCACCCGCCAACAAATTTTTCAACCAGGCTAAGGTACCAAAAATAGTCTGAAAACAGTGCTGGAGACACAGGGTTTCGCAGGCTGGCATATGAACCCCCCCCCGCGAAATAATTTATGAGCCCCCAGTTTTGTCCCCCCGTCAGAAATTTTACGAATAAATTGTCGGGAAATTTGTGAGTAGGAAAAATAGCAATGTTTTCAGCTTTTGATTTGAACTGATTATTTTGTTGTATAGGATTTTGTCTTGGATCATACATGTAAACAGTAACGTACCGGTCAGTAGAGTAAAGTAGAGGTAGAGCATGTATGAAAATTTAGCTACAGCTAACCATTCAGCATAGGGTGAATCGGGGTCATTGGGGTGACATTTGAGCGGAGCGGACCGCCCCGGGTGACGTTTACTCTAGCTACGCCACTGCCTCCAATCATTTGTTAACTGGGGCAAGAAATGGCTTGTAAATATTAACGCCTCTAAAATGAAACTACTGTCTCTTAGTCATCTTCGAGAACCATTTTTGCCTTCCATCGATATGGCTGAAGCCAACCACTAGGAGAGCATCTCATTGCACCTTCTTGGTCTCGCATTTTCCACTGACATGAAAAGGAATGATTATATTGAATCATTTGCTAGGCTTGCTCCTAGGAAAGTTGGTTCACTGGCAATTTTTCTCGATCTACCATTCATCTACGTATTGAATATTACTACCACCTGTGATCTGGGTCATCTGCTATATATCCCGAGATTATTGACAATATCCAGATAATTACCTGTAATAGAATCAGTCCTGACATGGCATCTTCACCACTGATGTAACACGCCCCACTGTCTTTTCTATAAATATTTCCATTACATTTGTTCTGATGAGAGCTTTCTCTTGGTATCTCAACCGCATTAATTTAAGCATGCTACTAGATTAGCAAGGATTAAACATTAACGAGGGTTGACTTGTTGTAAAAACAACGCAACAAAAATCGCGTTGGAAAGGTTTTTTGTTTTTTTACACCCCAGATCATCTTCAAAAGTCAGCACCGCCTTATACATTAGTTTAGAACTCAATCCCATTTTTTTCAGGACTCAAGACAAAATTCACAGGAACAAAGAAAATGTATAAATTCACTGTCATCCTATGTTTAGGTTTTATTACAATTCTAATTATCGCTTTTTAAAACAATAAACCTTGCCGAGGAGTGAAGGTAGTTAAAATAATAGCGGTGTCATGGGAAAAACTGTACTTCTGATAATCCGTTTTTGTCTTTGTTAGTTTTTTATTTTTATTTTTTTTTATTTTTAGTATTATTTTTTTTTTAATTTTAGTATTATTTTTTTTTTAATTTTAGTATTATTTTTTTTATTTTTATTTTTTATTATTTTTTTTTTTTTAGTATTATTTTTTATTTTTTAGTATTTTTATTTTTTTATTTTTAGTATTATATTTTTATTTTTTTTTATTTTTAGTATTATATTTTTATTTTTTATTTTTAGTATTATATTTTTTTATTTTTTATTTTTAGTATTATATTTTTTTTTTTTTTTTTTTTTATTATTTTATTTTTTTTTTTTTTTTTTTTTTAGTATTATTTTTTTTTTTTTTTATTTTTAGTATTATTATTTTTTTTATTTTTTATTTTTAGTATTACATTTTATTTTTTTTATTTTTAGTATTACATTTTATTTTTTTATTTTTAGTATTACATTTTTTTTTTTTTATTTTTAGTATTACATTTTTATTTTTTTTTTTTTTAGTATATTTTTTTATTTTTAGTATTTTTTATTTTTTTATTATTTTTTATTTTTTTTTATTTTTAGTATTATATTTTATTTTTTTATTTTTAGTATTATATTTTTATTTTTTTTATTTTTAGTATTATATTTTTATTTTTTTTATTTTTTTTATATTTTTTTTTTTATTTTTTTTTTTTTTTTTAGTTTTTTTTTTTAGTATTATTTTTTATTTTTAGTATTATTTTTTTTTTAATTTCTATTAATTCTGGGGACGCAAAGATAAAAGTTTGCCCAAGATTTATTCTAATCTAATATGACAGATTTCATGTGGAGGACAAAAAAAAAAAAGTTAGCAAGACCATTACAAGGACATTTGGTTTTTTTTCTTGTTCTTGTTTTTGTGCAGGAAATATATTTTTTTTAAATTAAATTGTTTCAAACGGTATTTCTTTTTTTTTCTTTTCGTTTTTTCACTTTCTCATTTTCTGAGACATTGGTTATAAATGCCAAATTAGAAAAAAAAACAAAAAACACTTAAGTAGTGTTAATAAGATAAAGTCATGAAAAATCTAGGCACATTAAACTTTCCTTTCATTCTATGAATATTCCTGCAAAACATTTTTTTTTTCTGACGGAAAAACAGTCTGAGAAATGTGACAACAGCTGATTATTTGTTTCCACTCCTCGCTTTTTTGTTTTTCTGTCTCTCTATTTAAAAAGAAAAAAAAGTGATATTGTGTACTACAAATTTAAGGAAAAAATCTTTTAAGAACGTTGTCAAATTTGTCTTAATTAAATTCAATAAATCTAATCCAATATTTCTGGCTCTTGTGAACAAAGCATTAAGTTCTATTAAATCACTCACTTATTAGACATTTTTCTATGTACTTCTATAAGTATATTATGAGAAAATAAGTCGGCTTAATAATAGTTACTTCATAAATAATAAGTAAATAAAATAAAAAGTTACTTTTATGTTTATTTTGTATTTTTGTTCCAGAATTAATTTATGGTTCCAATTTGTACAGTATTTACATTAGTCGGACTATTGTCCTCATCCTTGTCGCCACATCCGTCACAACGTTTCGGCCGTTGTACGCTCCGGCCTTCTTCAGGTGGTTGGAATTTCGAACTGAACCCTTTATTTCGATCGCTGGGGTAGACTGTTCTAATTCCACGTGCCATGTTTGATGGATGTCAGTTATCCGTTATCTCCTGCTAATTTTCCCTCTGAAAGTTCTCCACTGTCTTAACCAGGAATTGAACTCACCTTCTTTTTGGGTCTGTCACTGGATCTAACCAACGCCTTTATCCACTGTGCCATGTGTCCTTGAGGACATCTGGGTATGAACTTCTGAGTATTATAAACCTAATGTTTTCAGCATCATTTTTACCAGTGCTCATATTGCAATTTTTGCTGTTATTTTTGCTTTGTTATCATTGCATGTCTTTACCAGAGTTCATATTGCAACTTTGTTATCATTGCTTTTCTCAGGCACTCCTTATTACTGGTTCCCATATTGTATTTATTTCTATGCTTGGTCGGCTCAGGAGATTTTTGTGGCCTAGCATATGTGCTGATTCCAACCACCTGAAGAAGGCCGGAGCGTACAACGGCCGAAACGTTGTGACGGATGTGGCGACAAGGATGAGGACAATAGTCCGACTAATGTAAATACTGTACATAATACCTCATCTCAGAAATATAGACAGGTTCCAATTTGGTTTTGATTAATTAAAACTGTTTTAACGTGGATAATGAATTCAAAGTATATATATATATATATATATATATAATATAACATTTTGTACGCCCTTGTTAACAGGGTGGGAAGTGATTGATCCGAAGCTCCGACAAATTGTATATTAATTGTAATAAAACCTCCATCAAAGAAAAATGTATCAAGATAAAAGGGGATTAACTTTTCGTGCCAAATTAATTATGCTCTTAATCGCCACTTTTTTTTCTGTTTCTTAAGCCGATTCCGACAGAGAACTACCGCAAACTCAAGCCGAAACTAAAAACTTTGCTCCCAGTGAAACGTCGATATTTGAAGTAGACTTCCAGTTAAGGCCATGGATTGCACTATGACTTGGCCTGAAATAAAGAACGCCTCAATTAAGTAGATCGAGTTATTTAACTGCCGCGAGTTTAGTGCTTTGGTCAGGTATCAATGAAAATCACAATACTTTTCTTTTTTTTTTTTTTTTTTAATGCGTATCCCTTTAGAACATTTTTTCTTTTGGTAATAATAATTACTTGCAGCAATACTTTAGTAAAGAAATAATATATCAAGATAAAAAGGGGATTAACTTTTCGAGCCAAATTAATTATGCTCATAATCTCGCTCCTTTTTTCTTAAGCCGATTTCCGAAGAGAACTATCCCAAACCTAAACTAAAAATCTTCGCTCTTATTGGAACAACGAGCTTTCAGACTGGTCTCCCCTTCTCGACGAAAGTTGCACTATGATTTAGCCCTTAGTAAAGAACACCCTGATCAAGTCTTAGAGGTTTCTCTTGTTTTGCCTGACTGTGCTACCTTGAATTCTTTTGACTTTGTCAACCTTTTGTCGATTAGCATGAAACGTATTTCACTCGTGATGTTTTTAACTTTTACCGTTACTCCGATGTTTCCTTGTCCTCTTCTTTCTTGTCCGCCCATTTGAATCTGATGTTTAATCTTAAATCGTCTGTGCTAAGCACATTTACTTTACTGGTGACCTCCGCTCCAAAACTAACATTAAACTCATCGTCAATATCTGCAGTCGTTCCTCAACGTCTATTTCATATTTTAGTATGGCGTCGTCTCATATAAAATTCTCTTAATTTATTAAATATAATAAGTAGTACGACTTCAGTCTAATAAAAAATACTAATTACCACAAAGGCATGACGTAATGATGCTAATTTTTTTTTTGACAAGACAGAAGACAAAAGATATAACCTATTTACATTTGATATGATTATACTTTTCCTCCTTCCTATTTTTTCCGAGGTTCTTTCTCCTCTCTCTCTCTTCGGTTCTTTCTCTTTGTTTGTTTCTTTTCTCTCTCTCTCTTTCTCTCTCTCTCCTCGTTTTTTTCTTTCTTTCTCTTTTCTTTCTCTTTTCTTTCTCTTTTCTCTCTTTTCTTTCTCTTTTCTTTCTCTTTTCGTTCTTTCTCCGTTTTCCTTTTCTTTTTTACTTCCCTCGCCTTTTTCGCGTACTTCCTTTCTTTATTTCCCACTTTCTCCCTCTCCCTCTCCCTCTCCTCTCTCCCCTCTCCTCTCCCTCTCCCTCTCCCCTCTCCCTCTCTCCCTCTCCCCTCTCTCCCCTCTCCCTCTCTCCCTCTCTCCCTCTCTCCCTCTCCCTCTCCCCTCTCCCTCTCCCTCTCTCCCTCTCCCTCTCTCCTCCCTCTCCCTCCCTCCCCTCTCCCTCTCTCCCTCTCTCTCCCCTCTCCCTCTCTCCCTCTCTCCCTCCCTCTCCTCTCTCCCTCCCTCCCTCCCTCCTCTCTCCCCTCTCCCTCTCCCTCTCTCCCTCTCCCTCCCCTCTCCCCTCCCCTCCCCTCTCTCTCTCTCTCTTTCCTCTCTTTCTCTCTCTCTCTCTCTCTCTCTCTCTCTCTCTTTCTCTCTCTCTCTTTCTCTCTTTCTACCGTATATATCGTGGAGATTAATTTTTTTTTTTTTTTTTAAATTTTTAAATCTTGAAATAGTAGGATTTTTCTTTTCAAAATCGCATAAATAGGAATACAAATCCCCCCACTCCACACCAAAAAATAAAAAAAAAAAGCCAGAAATTTTAATTTGTTTAGTATTTTGTAACTGACCGACTCCCTTTGTTTATAACACCAGTGAACTTTGGGAACCTCTCTTATAGTTGAGCGTCCCAAATTCCGCCATAAGTTTCTGCTTACCCAGTCCATTTGACTCTGAAGCAGCCGTTTCCTCAATATTCAACCTTGACTGCTTCCCATCAGTTATGCTTGAATTCTAATTTGTGTTAAGCCCCGCTTCAGGCGGAGGCTTTCGCAAAAACCATTAAGAATGACTTCTCGTTTGTTATTTAAAAAATTGTGTCTCTGCCCCTTTAACTGTTATTGCATAAGTATTACTGGTGTCTCTTCTACGAGGGCGACGCGTCTATTGCGTGGGTGGGTACCCTAAGCTTTTCGCCATGTCATTTTACTTGATACGCCTGCCTAACAACCGACGAAGAAAAAAAAAATAATATATAATATATATATATATATATATATATAAAGAGCGCATTTTTAGGTGCAAATTACTGTCTCTCGTCAAGCAGTATAAAGTCAACAGGCTTTTTTTCTTTTTTTTTTTTTTTCAAACTTCATTTTAGCAAAAGAAAAGGTCAAAATATAGAAGCAGAAGGCAAAAAGGGGAAAAAAACATGGGTGGAGTGAAATATTTAGACTTTAAAAGAAATTTAAAAAAAAAATCAGTGACTTCATCACCATAGTTTTCCTGTTGTAATCATCATCATCGTTATAATCAGTATTTTTTAATGCCAACGAATACTCGTCAAATTCGTAATGCTCGTTGTAGTAGAGACTTTGTAATCGCAGATACAACTATAGTACCACCGTTGAACAATACTGGTGTCAGACGCCTTCGGATAATACTCGTTCAGATAGTAACCACTGAATATTGATCCGGATAGTAATCCCTATATTGAGATATTCACTAACCCGCCCCACGCCGTCGGATGTGAAACAAGGACGAGTTTATTGTGGGGTATCCGAAAAAAATACTGGGTTGCATAGCTCTCTCTCGAGATGAGACTCTGCCCTTTGACATAGCCTCGTCTGGGGATCCTCTCTGCCCCGAGGCAAAGAGTTTGACCAGCACAGCTGGAGACAAAAATCCAACTACACGCGGTCAGATGTGGCACAGAGCCGAATTTAATGTGGGGGTATCCGAGCCTACAGGAAATTCCCCGTGGACCCCGTATAAAACGGGGTCAGGTAGCTGTCTCCCGAGACGGGACTTTGCCATTGGACATAGCCTCGTTTGGGAATCCTCCCTGCCCGGAGGCAGTGTGTTTGACCAGCACACTTCCGAAGTAATCCGGAGAGTGAGATATTCACTTAGACGCCACGCCAATTCCCATATATGCATTTCCTTTACTATCACGTGATCTACTTATTCAAAATGGGATCGTCTGTGTTTTCTCTCTGGTGATCTGTGTTCAAACTCCAGTGTCAGCAGCGACATTTTATTCCTATATAACAAGTATCATTATTGGCCATGGTTATGTTTGCCTCGGGGTTCTTGATAGGCACCAGAGGCGGATATGCAATATAATTGGCCCTGATCTGGCATCTCGTTTACAGTCACTTTCTCACAGACGCACCGTCGCCTCTCTCTGTCTGTTTTACAAACATTTTCATGGCAATTGCTCCGAGGAGCTGCATTCGCTGGTTCCCAGACTTCGAGTTCAAGCGCCCTACAAGGCTGGCATCCCGCTCTCACCTCTTCACTGTCGAAACTCCTAAATGTAGCCGTCTCTTCTACTCTAATAGCTTCATGTCTCGCACCTCTCGCCTGTGGAACTCCCTTCCCTATTCCAGTTTCCCTGAGAGCTATAATCTCCAGCTATTCAAGTGTAATGTCAATCGACATCTCCAGTTGCCTTGATCTATCCACTACTCTTCTCCTCATCCTTTCTTCTATCACTCCTATCAGATCTTGCTCCAAATTTTCTGTAACCTCTTGCGTCCTTGTGGCTTTCCGCCTTGCTTGGGGTGAAACGCTTAAAAAAAAATGCCCAACAAACAGAATTGACAAAATTTACGATAAACAATAACAAAAGAAAAGAAAAAAGGAACAGGGTAATACTAAGCAATACTTAGTCTGACACAAAGCCATAAATGTGGAGTGTTTTTTTTTATTTTATTTTTTTTTTTATTTAAAGATTTAACAATCTTTTGCAGGCTATTTAAAACCAGAAAATATTTTTAGATTATAAGAATTTGAGTGGTGGGGGGATGATAATGATACAGTAATCGCAAAGTATTTTTAAAATATATTTTTTATAGTTGTTCTGGTACGCTAGCTTTCTAATCATTGCTCCACAGCAAGGTACAAGGCCACTATTGTGTAGTAGCTAGTGAGATTTGAACTCACTATAAAGTAATAATGGGATGCTATTTTAACACTTAACAATGCAGAATTCTGGCTGTCCTGGCCCATTTCCGGCGGAGTGGGCTATGAAATTGCCATTTACTGGAAGTAAATGACTATAAAAATGCTGATGGCGATTTCTCGTGGGCGCTGCCATTTTGGTTTCACTCAGAATCTCGCCAGTACAGACAAAACACCACCACCTAACATAATTAGTTAATAAGCACAAACACTAGTGACCAACATTTCACGATGTCTAGAAAATATAGATAACTATGCAGACAGGAGGCAATGCGAATTTCATAAAGGCATACAAGTATGCCCACACTAATGGAAGTATTACCCATTATCCACTCTTCACCACAGAAAGGTCCTTGAAGATATTTACTTAGTCTGACACAAAGCCATAAATGCGGAGTGGCACTCAGTGAAGTTTTAAAGGATTAACAGTCTTTTGTAGGTTATTTAAAACGAGAAAATATTTTGACATTGTAAGAAATGTTCGGGAGATGATAATGATGATTTACAGATACAAGTCCTATTTAACGCATAGCTGGGGGGAAAATACCTTTTTCACTTAAATGAACATGACAAACTTGACTGGAATTGGAACTTGGCTCTCTGATTTCCAACGTCGACCTGTTATCCATTGCAGTAACTTGTACTTGCAAGCAGTTACCCATGTAGGTACCGACTACGCTCAACGTTGCTTTACTTTGATGATTGTACAAGAATCAGTATTTCAAGAAGTCTATATTTGGCTGCAAAGTTTGCTCATTAACCATGACAAGGCATTAAAACTATTATCATTTCACTGATTCGTTTCCTTCAACGGAATTTGTGTCGTCTGTTGGATTTGTTCGTTGTGTATTTGACAGAAATTGCAGGACGTGTTTGTTGATCTGGGCAATATTTCGATCGCACTTTTTCTTCAACGTAATGTCTAACATTAACAGGAGATAGTTCACATCCATTAAACATGGCGTGTGGAACTAGAACAGTCTACCCCAGCCAGCAAAATAAAGGGGTTCAGTTCGACATTCCAACCACCTGAAGAAGGCCGGAGCGTACAACGGCCGAAACGTTGTGATAAATATGGCGACAAATATGAGGACGATACTCCGAACAATGTAAATAGTGTACATAATACCTCATCTCAGAAATAGAGACAGATAAAGAATCTCATTAAATAACTCATATGGCGAAACCATTTTCAATTTTGGTCTGGATTTTTAAGTTTCCAAAATTTACATTGAAATCAACGTGAATATGTCTGATAGTTTGCAAAACAAACCCCAAAGTTACCAAAAATACTGTGGACTTTGGGCAAATTCATGAGTCAAGCCTTTTATCAACTTCCTTGTGGTTATGGAGTTGGGACGGGAGTGTTAGTTATGCTGAACCTTACTAAATCTTACTTCGTTTAATTTGAATTCAGACTCTTCTGAGGCCATCCTTATGGATTTAACATTAATATTTTTAAACTTGACTTTCCCCAGCCCCATCAGACTTCATTTTGATTAACCACTCTCCCATCTTTTTCTCCTTCTATCTCTTCTCCTTTGCTCAGAATTATCAAGTCTTTCATTACCAGCATGAGCATAATTCAATCTGAGGCATTTTCCTGTTACAGATGCTTTGCGACTCGAATAAAAAAAAAAAAAAAAAAAAAAAACTACCAATATTTACCCATCTCAGATCCATGTAAATGATTATTGGTTAACAACAATAATAAGAACAACAGCAACAATAATAAGAACCAGATTAATAAAAACAAGGACAATAAGAACAACAATAACAAAAAATAAGAACAACAATTCCTTCTCCTCCTCGTCATGGCTTCTAATCATAATTGATTGGAGGTCATGTTTTTGTCTTGGTGAATCAAGGTAGATTATAATAAATATCCCATTTGGTAGCTCAAAATTGTTTATCAGTTGCCTGACCTCAATCAGTATGGCATACCCCTAGAGGCTAATGCCGACTAGATCTCTACACATGAGCAGGAGTAGTGGATGAGAACTATGGCCGGGTGTTGAGTTTGAGAATAGCCTCAATTGGAAACTGTCTGGGCAGTCGGGATTGCTCTAATTTATTTCTAACAGCGCCTTACCTGCCAGATTATGCATTGATATTTATTAAAACCTGTCCCTATATAGCACACATTTTTTTAAAATAATTTTACCCCAAGTAAGGCAGCAAAGCCATTAAGACGCAAGAAGGTTACTGAAAGAATATAAGAAAAGGAAAAAAATATTAAGGAGAGAGAACAATAAAAGAACAGAAATTAAGATGACAGAAGATAATGATTGACATTGCATTTAAATTTTTGATGATCAAAGTTGACTGGGAAGCAAGAAGCCGGAAGAGTTTCACAAGGAAGAAGTGTGATAGAAGAAACTGTTAGCATAAAACTTACGGTTACGTGCAGCCATTTCACCTGTAAACTGACGAGACCTAGCCGCCAATCTAGTGCTGCGCTCAAATTCATAAAGTCTAGATACTATAGAGGA